AAATTGATGGCACAAAATGCGGAGGCCTTGCTAAAGGTAATAGCATCCTTGCAGAGGGGTGAAGCGTCAACTTCTTACGACGCACAGGCGATCATCCCTCTGAACATACCTGTGGATTATGTCACTCAGAGCGTAATGAATGCTCTAGGTGACAGACTTCTACAAAAGGTGGCGAACTTCACTTCAGAATTCAACAACAAAGCCAAAGAAGCAGCGGAGGCCATCAAAGTCTCTTTGGCCAAATTCAACTACCGCTCAGACGTCGAGATTCGAAAGGTTGGTGATGCATTCGAAGATCTCCTCAAAATCTTTGAGAAGAAAATCAAGTCCATGCCTCAAGCAGAGGAGCAGAGGCCTAAACGACGAATGGATCAATCGCCCTGTGTTGAGCCATCAAAGAGGAGACGACTTGACGATGATGAGGACCCAGACTAGTCTGGTCCTTAAAATCGTCAAGAGGGGGAGAACTATCCAACAACCATTCCAAGTGTTACATCTACGACTGCCCCCTCTGCACCAACGTCCTCTGCCCTACGCCAACCAGTGCAAGATCCTTCAAGGCAGAGGGCACAGAGCCAACCAGCGCCAGAACATGCAGAGGCGCTTCACAAAGTAAAGATGCCCATGGCATCTCAGGAAGAGCCAGTCAGGCTATAAAATAATACAGAAGTGATAGATCTTCTTTGTGTCTACGCATTTTCTGATTCACAGACCTGGATCTGTCTTCATCAACAGAATACGCCATGGACACAGCTGCTCCAATAAGAGGACAAGAAGAAGAGGTGGTAGCTGTGAATGTGGTTGATCCATCCYTTTTGCGCATTCCAGTTGTTGTTCCTCTAGAAGGCGTTGCTGTCGCTGCTTCTCCACCACAACATACACACAGAGCTAGGGTCTCTGCTCAAGGGACCAGGGTAGTCACACCAGCTATGAGGCAGCGGGTTCCTATCAAGCCAAACAGAGCAGATTTAGAAGGTCCAAGGAACAGGCCAAAACGAAAGCATCCCTCTGATCGTGTCCAAAAGATCAAGGAAACCATGGTTGCTATGTTTACGTAAACACCCCTTGATAAAACAATTAAGGACGCATCAGACAGCGAGGATATCTACCAGTTCCTCTACAACCTACAAGAAGAGACACCGGTCTAAAAGATCAGTCTCCATCTTATGGTTCAAGAGCATATCAGGCAGAGATTCCTAGATCGCTACACTCAGCCTATCACTGCAGTCCACTTCGTCGATGGAATCAAGCAAGTCCTCGACATAAAGAAGCGTACCTTCATGCATAACCAGATTATATTCTACAAGTATATACAGTGGAGAGGTCTCCCGGATAGATCTATAGGTTCATAGATTGTGACCTCATAAATCTGAATCCATGGGATCTTCTCTCTCTGTTTTACTTCACAGATCACAAGAAGGACAAGGGGGTCAAATACGTTGTTGCCAACTCTGCCAAACGCCAAACGATGACAGACCTGCTCGACTTTAGATGCAAGTTTGATTTCCAACTAGCTTTGGATCTAGGAGTGGATCAATTGATTGTTGCTGCACCAAATGAAGATCTACAGGGCATCAATAGCATCCCCTCTTGAACGGTATTGGTGGAACCAGATGTGGGAGTAGTGTTTCAAAACACACAACAGAAGATCTTCTTTTGAGACAACTAGAACTATAAGTACTCTTGTTGTACTTTGCCCTACATAAGAGACAATCTGATCAGGAGCAGAGACAACTCCCTAGGAGCAAAGGAGCGAGCAAGAATTATCCTCAGGTCAATACGCAACATGCTTGAGTTTTGTGAACTTCTTAGGAAGTTCATTAGATTTCAAAATGTTTAGACCTCTTATCTTTTGTAAGTACTTTTCTATCTTTGATTCGATCTAATTTCCATTTCAATCGTATTGTACTTCTTTAGATAGTACATGTAATTCAGAGGTTCCTTTTAACCTATTGCTTCAATTAGAGACTTTGTTTTGTAATTCAAGTAAGAGCCTGCCTTATTTACACATAGGGGGAGATTGTTCGACCCCAACTTGTGAAAGTGTAAGTAAGAAGTCTCTTACTCTAGTCAATAGGACTTAGTCTATAGAAGCTGTCTGGCTAAAAGCTCTCATGCAGAAGATCAAGAACCAGAGCTCTTACTCAAGAGTGAAGGTTCCATTCATACAGATCCCGTGCTCTATTCCCATGGACGCTCAATCCTTGTGCACCAAAAAGCATAAGCGCTTGACTTAAAGCTACAACTCCAAGACCCAGAGCCTCTGCATAGTACAAGCAGAGCTTCTGCATATGCAGAGCCTTTGCATAGTACATGCAGAGCTTCTATATATTCATGCAGAGCTTCTGGCTACCTTCTCTATGGAACGCGTGYGTGTTAGCCCAGACATTCTCGCAAGCGTCTAACAAATTTGAGGCGGCTTGACCAAGTCTGTTCCGCTATTCAAGGGAAGTCATAGATAAGGATGCAGACTAGTCAGCTCAGAGTTTCACACCTATTTTATAGCATAGTTTGTTAGACCTATGCGTATATAAAGAGGCTTCCGCCTCAGGTTTAAATAACCTGAAGGAACCGACTTATACTATGCACAAATATTGTGAGATTACTTTTGCTTTAATTGTTCATCGTTTTTATCAATAAAAGCATTCGGCATATTCAAGTTTATTCATTGTTTTTACTTTCATCTTGAATATTTCATTTAATCATTCAAGTTACACTGTTTGTGTTTAATTCTCATCTTTTTTAAACCGTGTTTCTACCAATTAAGAGTATATAGGTTCAACAAAAGGGATTCCTCCTTGCCCCATATTGAGTTCRCATATAACAATGCCATACACACAGCCACAGGTCATTCCTCTTTCTCATTGATGTATACAACAACACCAAGACACATGGTCGACTTAGTCAAATTACCTCGTATTTCTAAGATTAATGTAGTAGATGGAAATATGGCTAAACATGTTTAAGCAACCAAGAAAGCGTCAAAGCGAAGCTTTAAGCTACGACTTGAAAAACAAACTTGCGATTGATAATTACCGAAGCAAAGGRATTTTCAGCAAGGGAGATAATGTGATGATTTTTCTCAAGAAGGAACGATTCCCGTAGTACTTATGGGAATTAGAAACCAAGGAAGTATGGTCCATTAAAATTCATAAAGAAAATAAACAACAATGCCTACGTCGTAGTTTTACCGAACTTGTTGCACATCTCAAGCACTTTCAATGTCATCGACATCTATGAATATTGTTTGGACGAAGCTCTATCTTTTGATGAGAAATCGGTGTCGACGTCATCAAAGGAAGAGGAGACTAGTATAAAGATACTGACACATTATATCGAGGAACAAATTGAACGGGAAAACAGAGCAAATAACGTCGCTTGTGATTTACTGCGACCAAAGCTTCTTCTAAAGTCACGCAAACCACTAGAGTTGAGACCAAAGGAACTCGGAAATTCTCTTGCTCTTTTGACCTTCTGTTTGAATTCTCCCGACTAACCATGCAGCCTAGGCCGTGCTACTAGTCGCCCATGCCTTTTCATGCGACCCACTTCCTTGTCGAGTATCATTTTCAACATCAGTTTATTTTAATAATATATTATTGCTTAGATCATTATTTAGTTTCCTAGTAATTCTAGATTTCCTTTCAATTGTTTTACTATTGAGAGTATTCTCTGAGTGTTTTTAAGTTTTACGATCTTAATTATAAATAATCATAGGATTTAGATGCTTTCCAATCATTCCGCACTTCCTAGAGCGTCATTGTTGAATATGTGTTGCTCTTCGTATTCTAAGGAGCTTCATTCCAGACTTTAAACTACAACAAAATAGAGTTTATAAGTCGTCTAAGAAAATTAATAGATTGTTTTATACGAATTGGATTTATTGAACCAACAACTGTGTGTCCTACATGAAAGTGTTACAATAAGTTTACATGATGCTTTTGAGCGTCTTATTAACTTATTTACGACAACTTTGAAATAAATGTTCTATTAACTTTTTTATATAAAAATACTGAAAAAAGTGTCTTATAAAAGTATATTTTCATATGATATTTCTAAAAAGTGTCATGTAAAAAGTAATATGACATTTTATTTTGGAAGTGTTCTAAACAATTATCATTTAAAAATGTCTTATAGAATTATTTCAATACTTTCGCAGAAGTTTCGTTATAAACTTAAATTCTATAAGAGTCTGTTATGACCCTCAGACATTTTAATGCCTTATGGACC